ATTAAGAAGTATTAAATGTAGATCTGTGTTAAATTCTACATGTTATGCAAGAAAATGATAAACATAACACGAAAAAGAATAAATATAATACAAGAAATTACAAGGGTATGTGAAATTTGTTACATATGAATATTTAAAAGAAATTATTTCTAATAGAGGTACAGTATTTGTTAATGATCTAATTACAAAACATCTAAATAAATATCAAGTAAAATATTAACTTTCAGCACTATATCATTTACAAATAAATAATCTAATAGAATGCTTAAATAGAATAATTTATATAGTACTCACAAAATATGTACAGCTATATAAATAAAACTGGAATTATTATCTTTCAAATATTTTATTCACATATAGAATAATAAGACAAAGTACTATTCAGTTTGAATTATTTTATCTAACAAATAATCAACAAGTAAATATACCATTTGATATTTAATTGGAACTATCAAATGATCAAAAAACAATATTAAAAGAACAAATAGTTCAAAGAGCTTGTAAAATTATTGATCAACTAGAAAAAGATCATAAATTAACTTTACAAAATATTCAAAAAGTACAATTGAAATAAAAAGAATATTATGACAAAAATAAAATTACTCAAGTATTTGAAATTGGTAACAAAATTCTAATGAAGTAATAAAAATTTAATATTAATATTATGATAAATTTGAAGAAAAATAAAAAAGATTATTTTATATTTGTAAAAATACTTTCTTATGTGAATAATGTTAAGATAAATTTATTAATTATTATAAATAAATTATATCAATTGAGATAATTTTCAGTTTAATTTTAATAAAGCTTATTTTTTATTTATTAAATAGTAAAAAGATCTAAAGAACTATAATATAGAATAGAGATATTTAAATATATAATTGATATTAAATAAATTACAAATAAATTAATAATAAAATAGAGAACAATTAGTTCTAAATTATTAATCTTAAAGATGACGCATCTTCAAGTTATACTATACTTAATTAGATATATATGAAATATAAATAATAATAAAAAATAATTAATACAAATTTAAAAATAATAAATAAAAAAGAAAAAAGAAAAAGAATTAAAAACAAAGTATATCTAAATTAATAATGTAATCTATATTTTATATCTAATCTATTTTGCAAAATATTAAGAAGTATTAAATATAGATTTGTATTAATTTCTAATATGTTATACAAAAATGATAAATATAACACGAAAAATGATGGATATAATACAAGAAATTATAAGGTATATGAAAATTATTACAATATTCATGATAAATTTGATAAAAAAACTTATAATTGCACATACTTAATAAAAAAATTCACATAATAATGATTATTTAAAGCTTTATATTGAATTGAATAAATTAGAGTCTACTATAATTATTTGAGTTTTTATAATAAAATTCTTAAATAGAAAAACTGTTACCATTTAATATTTTAAATTACATGTAAAATATCCTGTGATATAATTTTGATAATTATTTATATTTCTATTTATAATTTTATTTATTTTATTTTGTTTAAATTACTTAATTTACACATAATTTATCAAAATGCTAATTAATTCTTTTTAATATTGCATCATTTATTAATTTATTTTATTATTATAATATTATTGAATTTAAATTCATTCTATTTTTTTTGTTTAATATTAATTAATATAATACTAATATTACTCTAATTTAAATTGTATCACTTAGATTAAATTAGTATTATACTTATTATTTCTTGATATTACACTTTTTCTAAATTATTTTTATGATTATTTTTAAGTAATATTACTTATTATGTATATCTGTATTATATTTACACATATTTAAACAGATATAATTTATATAAAACAACAAATAATTTAGAAATAATTTTGAAAATAATCAAATAATAAAAGTATAAAAGTTAACTAATATTTCTAAATAAGTTTTTATTTATTATTATTTTTGATTTATCATTTATCTAACTTTGACTTATCCAACTAGTGAAAGTCATCTTTTGTAATTTAATAAATTATTTACACTTTTGAATTATAAAATACTTGTCTAACTAGTGAAAGTATTAGAATCTATTTCTTTTATATTCTTTCCCAATCATTTAATATTTAATACATACAGTTACTATTATTATTTTTATATAATTTTTAATTAAATATTATAATTAGTTCATATTTTACCTATTTATATAAGAATGATAACAATATATATATTACCTATCTTTAATTATAATTATAATTTTAAACTTTTTTATTATAAAAACTTAGTCTATTTCATCTTTTAATTAATAGAAAGAATAATATATAATTAATTTGAAATATATAAAAATGATAACAATATATAAATTCTTTCACCTAATTTAGTTTTATATGTTATTCATATATATTTTTAAAACAAAGCTCATAATTATATAAAATAATAACAATATTAATTAATATTTGTTATTATTTTATCTTAATAAGCTTAATATTAATAATATTATTAAAAAACATATATTTGATAAGAAAATTTCATGATTTATAATATTATAATTGTATAATTTTTATTTAGAAAAGAAAATATAATCACATAATTTCTGTTTTTATAAAAAACAAAAAATAATTCACTTTGTAAAATATATTATAAAACAAGTCAATTAATATTTTAAAAGAAAATAATTTTTGTAGCATTTGTCCAAGAAAATTTGTATAATATATAACTATGTTCAGCAAATAATACTTCATGAATTTATTTTATTTCCAATAATCATATAATCAAGATCAAAATTAAAGAATTCTATATTATTATAATTTTTGAATTAAGCTTGTTACCTGTAATTGTTTTTGCAAAGTTGTAATATTGCAACATATATATTATAATTTGTTATAATAATTACAATCAGCAAGTTTACTCTGGATCATAGCTAAAACTTTTTGTAAGCCAGCTTGCAAGCCAAACTTTCTATTTGTCACATTCTGTATTAATTTATTTATTAATAAATGTCATATAAAAAAGCTCACAAGTATAAATATCTATTTGTCATTCCTGTGTTTGGTTTACGAGCTGGCTCGCAAGAAGCTTTAATCACAGTTATGATATATTTTTTATCTCTGTAACCAGTGTTGTCAACTGGATCATACTGGACTTAGTTCAATATTGCGCCACTGGACCACTGGGCTTAGTAATTTTATAAGTCCAATATAGTCCAGGCCAGTAACTTCTGGTTACTGAACATAGTAAAATGACAACACTATCTGTAACTCTTCCTTAACTAAACTGTTATTTCTTGGATACATGATAACCATCTTTGTTAGAATTTTGATTGTTCTTCTCGTGACTTGGATCGCGATTATCGTGATTGTTATTACTGAACTTGGATATCTAAACTAAGCTGAACTGATTTTATCTGAAAGTGCAACCTACTTCTTAAATTCTTTTAGTTCCTTCCCATTGCCGACGTTCTTCCTATAATCACTTTTGCCAGCTACATCGGCTAGTTTGGCATCAAGACCGTTATCCTGATCCCGGAATAATGAGTAAGATCGTCTGACTGCATAAATTATATTGAGGATAAAATGAAAAACTTCACCATCAAATTCTATCAGAAATAATTTTTCAACAATATAAAAGTTAAAATCGATGACATCATTATGTTTATTTTATGTATTTATCAACAAATGTAATGTTGTGCCTCAGATTACGATTTGCCTCACGCTTCACGTGTTAATTTTTGGCCAACGTCCCGAACCCTAACCTTAACACCTCTAGCTTAATTTGATCTGAGGCTCACAACTGTAAACTATCATATAGGATAAATAGGCTTCTAAACTCTACGTCGTTGTTTGCGTCCGTGATCATTTTCCAGATGTTGAATTAAATGGTAAAGTTTGTATAAACGCAGATGGCAGGTGTGTTGTGTATTCTCGCTTCTCGATGATCCCGATGATTGCGACGCTTCCTAATTGAACCCATGAAATATATGAATGTTAATATCTAGTAAAAAGAATAAATGAAGAATAAAAATAACATCCATACACTCAATATAAAATCTAACAAAATATCTCCACCTTCAATGTCTCTCCACCCGTGATTATGACGCTGCAAACCTCTCTTGTATACATGAATCTGTTGGTTTTCTGGAAAACTGGATCAATACCCACCCTAGCTGTATAGATGATTCTTCCGCAAAGTAACTATTCTTGAATTTTTTATCTAGTTCATCAAATTTTGACGTTCCAGATCTCCACGACAAATATAGAAAGGACCTAAACTGTGTTTCAATCAGCCTGCGATAAACATCCTTGGGTGTAAAAGTTACGTCCAGCGCTCGGATTTCCCCGTGTTAATTTGAAACCCCCGTGAAGAAGTCACCATTTGCTGAGTTTGAATTCGAGTTGAAGATCGTCGCGACAACAACTTCCTTGTCAATTGTAGTCGGATGCATGGGTACAAGCTTGCCAGATTTGAACTCAAAGTGGTCAACGGGTTGCCCGTTGATTTCAAAGAACGAGTCTTAAGTTTGTTGTGGTATTTTGTGTATACCCGAAACGCTATTCTAATAAAGATTAATGTTAATTAACGTTAAAGGTTGAGTTTGGGTTAGGGCTAGGGCTAGGTTACGATTATATGTAAAATTCCCCCAGCATTTTTGATGAGTATACACAACACTGTTAGAGTATAATATAATCTATACTCTATTGGTTACAGTTCAGTCACTGTACCCAGTGTTGTCCGGCGATTTTTGGCGGATAAAGGACATGTCCGAAAGTCCACAATCTCAACATAGGCTAGCATTAAAATCCCTTGGCCAAATTAACAAGCGATGTGCCGGCATTAATACTAATAGACGCGAACATAAAAAAATTCCGAACTGTCCCATATCCTTGCCAAGCTGATCAAAAATTATTGTCTATTATTGATAATGAATCACGTGATATTGTAAAATGTCAAAGATTGAGTGTTTCACTCTGACGCGCGGTTATAGCCTACGTGACTTTCACTGATGGATATTTTTCCGGCCTATCCGTTCAATCCTTTTTAGTAATATTACTTTTCGTACTTTTTTGATAATAACTTTTTTTGCTACTTTTCTCTTTGATTGTGAGCAATGAAAGGGGAGGTTGATGATATTTTAACTATCTCTACGCCGGATACTGGTCTCGTCAGACTAACGATATTAAGATACCACATAACACATACTGAGGACAAAAGTCACTTTGTGGGTTAGTTTTTATTTGTGGAGTTTTATTAATAAAATATTCCTTATGGAAATTACTATGAACTAATTATATTCTTGGTGACATCATGTCAAGTGTTATAACTTAAAAAGGAAAGATAATATAAAAAATAATTTAGCAAGATGACAGTGATAGATTTATTATGTACAAGATCTACATGCGATACGATAATCTATCAATGTGATGCAGCTGAGCCCCGCCTGACACAACTCTAATATGAAGCTCGGCTCGCGGAGAGACAACTCGGTGAATTCCACTCCACCTCTCCATTCCAAACCGCTCGAGATGTGGGCCGAGAACCAAGGCCCCGCAGACTTGGAGGAGGGCTAGACTAGATAGCGGATGCTGCGGCCATATCAGGGTAGATCCAAGGTTTTCCGTTACCCGAACTGCGGTTGCGATGTTAACGGTGCGCTCAACGTTTCCTCACCATCCACAAACCGATGGAGCCGGCTCATGCCTACCTCCCGGGACCTTAATCTGGTCCTTGCAGGACTTGTACATGATTCATATATATGAATATTATACACTGTTAAAAAAGAATCACTATATATTAAATATATAATAGTCCAAAATTATTATTTTTCATATATTAATTAATCCTAATTTACATAACAATGCAGGACATGAGCCAAAAAATAACTAACATCAAAATACTTTTGTATACTAATATAAAGTATAGGAAAAGAAATAAAACAACAAAATTTAAATAAATTGTGCTGTGCAATTTGCGTATTTGGAAGGGAAATTATAAAAAATAACGCATCGCAGTAATGTGATCGACTCTAGGTGTATCGCTATATAGAAGAGTTGCCAGTTATCAAAGATGGCAACGAATATTATTGAAATAAATACCAAGCAATTTTGCGATTACAAAGAAATTCCATAATGCATAATGTTTAATTACGTAGCTCCAAGCCTGCAATAATATCCTAAAAAATATAATAAAATTCGTCAATTATCAAATAATACTGAGATCAATTAATAATTTGTATATACCTGAAATTTGTTAATGTTCCGTAAAAACCAGTCTCCATATCGCCGACCAATTTTAGATTCGGCTATATGAACCATATCCTTTTGTGAAAATTGTAAAGATTTAAAAAAAAGTATAATAAAATAATTGAATTCAAAAACTCTTTAGTGTTAATACCTGCTTCAAACAGAAATCAAGGTCCGAGGTTGTGACATATTCACCCTCTAACAAAGTTCCACTATTCCACTTTTGCTGTCGAGACTTTTGCTTAAATATGAGCAATTGAGTCCTGGATGCGAAAGTGTGCGTATTAAATAAAGGTTCAGCACATCAGAGTGTGAATTTAGTTTCAATCAACTAACCTAAGTTCTTTGGAATCTATATCCAAGAAAGTTGCTAATTTATCTATTCCCATAGTGGTATATAATTTAAGGTATGAGCGTACTGTAGGTATAAGTATTTGGTGTCGTACCTCGGCAAGGAAAATTTTAGCGTGGTGATGATGAGGTTCCTGTTAAATGAGAGTAAAATAAATTATTAATATTCAAATTATTTAAGTTTTTCATCAAAAATAAGCAACAAACAATATAATTAGATACAATTGACTGTGCTAGGCTGTTCGGATCTTCGAAATTTGGACCGATAGGAGAAATAAATTTGGGGCACGCGTACAGGAATAAATCTTCAAAAACAGGGATGCCCTCTTCCCTATTTTATAAGAGCCAAATGAAATATCAATAGTATAAACATGACAATTGAATCCCCGGATAAAATTTTTACCTACCCTTTCTGCATTTTTGTTAATTGTTCCCCATATTTTTCCCTTAGATGCGAATGAATATTTTCATCCAACCGTGTCGGGCAAAGTGCGATACAAATAGCCAAGAGCGCATACATTTGATCACCCTTTTTATTAATCTGTAATGAAATAATATATGAAAAATATTTCTATATTGCGCGTAATTGATGTTCTAATATAAGTAAAAGTGCTTAATTAACTCTTTACCTGATCAAATTGATAAGAGCGAGTATGGTACATTTTTGTTCGTGCAATGAATACAAGGATATGTGAGAAAGCCTTAATCGCATCTGCATATCTTCGCATCATCATATACGAAAAGCCGACATAATAATATGTTGTAACATGACACGCGGTGACACGCGCAAACAGTGCCTAGAATGAATGAAAGCATCTCGAGATTAGAATAACTTAACAAACTCAAAGAAAATCATAATTAAAGAAAAATAGGGCACCTTTTTGTTCAACTCAATATTATCCATCATTTTTAATGCTAAAGTATAATCACCCAAGAGACAATGAACACGCAAAAGTCCAATAATACTAAAATATCCCAACATTTTATATAAAGGTCGAGATCCATATTCGCCTGCAGCTTCACTATCATTTATTAAAAAACGTTCGAGTATGAATGAAACTTAACGAGGATTAAAGCAAGTTAAATACATTTATATCACATACACCATATCGCCACCATGTTTGCTAACCAGCAATTGTTCAGTAATTCTAGATTTCGTAATCAAAGAGTATAAAACATTCAACACACTATAACAGCTCCAAACCTGCATGCGAATTATTAAGAACATTAATCAGCCTTCAAATATCATACATATTATCAAAAAAAGAATTTCCAATATTGACACCTGAATATTGTCGCGTAACAAAGAAATTTCTTCTTCAGTTTTATTCTTGAGTCGATTACGATAATTACAAAAAGATTGGAATTGGTAAATAAATTCATCAATAATATCCCAAAGCCATTGATTGGGAAGCTCCAAAGGAACAGGACCATCAGAATCTTGATTTGTAAAATGAAGTATTATCAATAATTACGAAAATTCGACAGTTTTTGATTTTTGAAAAAAAAAAGATTTTTACTTAGTATGTAATTGAAGAGATCACAATAATTCTCATAAGAATGGAAACGATGCTCAATGGTGGGTGTAAGTTTCGAGTAAATATGGCGATAATACAGTTCACGATACAAGGTCAAAAAAACTTGATCTATAAAAACATTCAGATAAAAATCGGTGAAATTAAAAATATTCATTAATTCAATGATATCTTTAGATCCTACCATCATTGACCAACGGTGCAATAAAATCAGCTTCAGGCCAAGGTTGTTTCGGATAGAATTTCTCAGTCAATTTATTAAATGAAGTCTCATAGATGCCATGCAACTCGTATACGTTATTTTCCAGAATGTTACGGTGGAAATAGACAACAAAATTTTTGACCACATCGGGTATTTGTAGTATTTGTGCTTCAGCTGCATATTGTTGTTGCTGTAGAAGCATTTGTTGCAATACCAGTGGGTCTTTATAAAAACGTCAAATGTTTATTAGGTCCACGCGATTATAAAAGCTTAATTTGTTAACTTGTAAACTTTTACTACAATCTATTCTATACCTTCTTCTAGTAAATCATCTTCTACCCCTATATACGAACTGTTAACTACTAAATCTATTTCAGAAGACAAATCGACGTCTTCCACTTCTTCATAACCTTCTTGATCCATCATAAGTAAAAAGTGAAAATTTCCCTATGATCTTCCTGCAAAATATATGCCGATCGATCGATAAGATCTTACAGATTAATCAAAAATTTTATGACAATCAAAGATGTTTATTGACTTGGGATTATGTGCCAAGTTCTAAAAAAAAACAAAATACAAGAAAAAAAACAATAAACCCAACATTCAGAACTATAATAAATAATTTTTTATATAAATATATGTGTATGTATATATAAGTGAGGGGAATGTGTGTGAAAAAAATTTACAATAAATGATGCATTACGATCAATCGAATTTGTTTTCGAATGTTGTATAAAGTCCTCAAATTTTCATCAAGAATAAAGAAAACTTACAAATCCATTGCATAGGATAATAAAATAATTTTTATATGTATATAATTTATTTAAATTTACATTATAGGATGCACCATTGGCATCCTGATGCATTAGAATTATACATAACCACGAAGGGTTTTCACGAGGCACCTGTTAGTTAAATTTTATGTAAGAAACATGAAATTACTCAATATAAATAGCAAAGATTTTATTATATAACTTTACCTTTTTATGCCCACACCTTTTGCATCTCCCTCTCGCTCATCGTGTAGCTTCGTCCTCGTGGAACCCGTTCGTTTCCATTTTGAGGGACATTGAAGCTTTTTCGGCGAGTTCCGTTCCCACTGTTATTGAATGTTCGACCACTTTTGCCGTTTTTGGCAAAAGTTACATGAGCAACTTTCGCATGTTGTAGTCGAACATCCTGAGGAGGCAAAGTCTGATGACTGAAAGTCATTGACCTTCCGCGATTTATTTTCGTTTCACGCCCGTTAATGATGGGTGATTTTGTGGAATAGCGAGCGTCTTGAGAATTAAAACGTGCATCCTGTATCGAATATCTGACGTCTTGAATACTGAAACGCGCATCCTGTGGTGAATATCTGACATCTTGTGGTGTGTATCTTACATCCTGTTCAGAATGGCGCTCGTTCAATGAATAGATTTTTGATTCGGGAGGAGAATTATTTTTTAATTCTCCATTTTTTGACATGTTATTCGGAAGTGCAAGTGGAGATGACTTTTTGTGATTTTGACTATTAGAGACTGATGCCTCCAATTCTTGTCTGTGTCCTATTGTCCTTTGTATAATAGAAGACGTTTCTGGTTTTCCTTGTTGTCGAGCAGCATCTCGAAGATTTGGTTCACTTCTTTTCGGATATCGTGAAGATAATAGAGTATTACTTCGAATATTCGGAATACTTCGTCTTGGTCCCAAATAAATTTTTTCATCAGCGCCAGCGCCATCACCTTGAATTTTTTCTGTACGATGATGATTCTTTCGATTATCATATAAAGTATTCTTTGGATATTCATCAGGAGAATGTGGTGGACTGTTATTCTTAGAATGTGGTGGACTGTTATTCTTAGAATGTGGTGGACTGTTATTCTTAGGACTCGGTAAAGATAATCGCCTATTTTGAGAGTCCACCAGTCCATTGATTTTCTTTTCGGATTCTTTCCACGAAATTTTTGGATTGCTGGCATTCCATTGCCACTTATTCATTTTCGAAACAAGTGTTTGCTCATCATCTAAAAATTTCTGAAAATTGTCCATTGACGGATCGGAACACCACTCCAATTCAGCATTATTCAAGAAATTAATCTCGTGCATAGGAGTACCGGGCACCGTATCCTGATCACTTAAAGTGTTCCTTCGATTTTCAAAATAAGATGGAGGTTGTATAGTGTCGGGGTGTTTAAAACCTCTGTCATGATCTCGACCATTCGGATGATTTCCATTGACTGGAAATCCGTTGATGGCATTTCGACCAATATGAATTGAACGTGAATTATATCCGGAACTGTCTTCGCGGTTTTTAATTCTCCACGAAGGAGTTGGAGATTTTGTAATATAAGATGTGACTATTTCTGCTTCTGTTCCTGAACCGGTCGTTTCCCTATAATTAATATCAAGTACATATTGATGATTTATTGGAGCAATAAAATGCCAAATATTAAGAGATTTTACTTACGAAAGCACTTCACGTAAATAATCATAATCTGGATCTTCTGCGAATCTCAATGATCTGGTATAGTGTAAAAAGGTCATAAAACCTCTAGGGAGATCCTCACAAAGCTTCTCCAAGGAAAGTTCTTGCTTCCATTCTTTCATTTTTTTCCATCCTTCCTGTGCATTCCGAGCTTTAAGACCACTCCACGGTAACCTGCCTTTAAGAAGATCGATAAATAGATATCCAAGAGATTCTAGATCATCTCGTCTGGTATGAACTAGAAAGAGGAAATATGGTGAATATTACGTCACATTAAATAAATAAGATTCAATACTTTATGTCACACACCTTTTCCTTTATGAATATTTATGCTGGCATATCGTGCAGTCCCAGTTTTATACTTTACATATTGCCCCGAAATATGTTCACCAGTTATTGGGTCTCGATAGTAAGTGGAGAGACCAAAGTCGATGATTGAGACCGTGTGCTTGCTCTGATACAAGAGTTTAGTATCAGCCGGTTGAGCATTTGTTTCCTCTTCATCAGATTCATTATCGGATAAGTTTGAGGTTACAGGTAATTGGAATTCGCGTTCAAGAAGGAAATTGTCAGGCTTGACGTCTCGATAAACGATACCCTGGCTATGAACTCCTTCCATTATAGTAACCTATCATGTAAAATTCAAATTAGTCAATAATGTTGGACGCAATATTTGATTGAATCAACAAGATTTTACATACCATTTGCATCGCTAAGTCGCTAACAATAGGTACAGGCAATTTATCGAAAGTTGTTCGGACCTGCTTTAACGTTGGTCCAAGCAAATCCATGACGCATACTTTATATACACCGTATACTCCAAACCATTGGCATTTTGGTACAAAGTCTGTTGTTACAAAATAACAAAAATCGTAATATTTAATCTATAGTTTATGATGAAAAATAACATCATATTAAGAGTAGATAATATCTATACCGTATTGCTTTAATAGATTTAACAACTCAACTTCGTTCTCCAAATGTGTGTCGTCTAAAGTATCGATAGGTTCTCGTTTCGCAGCGTACTCCTTACCAGTAACATTGTGACGAACTATAATTTATTGAAAAATAATGAAACTGGTTAGAAATTTGTATTTTGTTATAAGTGAATCCATACACCAAAGACACTAACACTACAATTCATTCTTCTTTTACAAAAACAGTAACCGTTTCTTGAAAATCACGAGTAAAAAACACTATGCCTACCTCGAAAGACCTCGCCAAAGGAACCTTCGCCTATTTTTTCTTGGACTAACCAAGTTCCACCAATAATTACGTTGACCATTATTCAATAATAGTAATGCCAGTGGAAAGGGTGTGGTACTTTTCTCCAAAGGCCAACGCAAGGAGGAACGTGGTTAATTGAAAGTTATTATTTGGAGAAATCGATCAAGCGGCGTAATTAAATGTAGTAAATAGGGAGAAAAAGGATTGAATTCAAAACTAAGAAAGATTGGTTTTTCTTTTGTTAATGAAAAGAATAATAGTTAAATATGAATGATATAAAGAGTTAACAAGAAAAGCACATAAAAGAACCTTGTGCTGTTAATTCTTAGAAGCGTGTGTACACCGTGTGGAAAATTAATCGACAGCCTAACAGGGTTTTTTATAGTCGAGTAAAATAGGGTGACTTGATATTAGAATGCTTAACCGGATGAAGTTTCCCCATTTATCGGACTAACCAATTGGAACTCGCTCGCAAAGATTTTGTGATCTTCTGATTTTATTTAAGATGCAGATCGTATTAATCAAATGATTATATTTTGGTTTCACGGTCATTTGTGCTTTAGTTTCGTATGCAATTACACAACATATATGACCTAATTTAGAAAGATTACGACATTTCTTTTAGAACCTAATGTCGGACACAAAAATTAGTGTTTGAAAAAGAGAAGTTTGGGCCTTAGAATGTGGGGTTCATTCACTCAAAATCGATCAAAGCAAACACAAAAGTGTGTGAAAATAGAGTGGCATCGATCTACTTATAATTAGCATTGTGCGCATTCATGTTGGTATACATTGGATTCTTTATTACTGTATTGCATATGAAAAAAAAGCAGTGACCAGCACTTTAATAAATGCGCTTTGGTCAACTCATCTTTCTTTGCATAATAATTTCCCACAGTTATGTCTTTGCACATGGATGTTTTTCCGTAAAAAATAATTACCAATAAAATTACATGATAATCAATTGGAAATTGGAAATTTTAAATAAATTAGTGCATGCCTAAAAATATATTAATTATAGAATTCTTTAATGGATGTTAATTAAAGTAATTAATCATTCTTCGCGAGACTGGTCAATTATTTGTGTATGAGTCAAGAATTATCGTTCATTAAATTTTATTATTTTAGAAAAAAAGGATTTTTAAGTTATAATCGTAAAACACATCTTTAAACCTTATATCAATTAAATTTCCAATTCGAGCCAATTTTCTTGTTACTACGAACAGAAAAATATTAGGCTTCCAACTTCTTATGCAAAAAAGTCGGCGAGTGTTGATATATAGAGCATATACGTGAAAACGTCTTCTCATAAAGCAAAAAAATACTCGTGATTTTTTAATATCCAATCTAATAATATCTAAAACTAGCTCCATAACTTTCTTGTGGAATTCGATTTATATATGCGTGCGTTTGCTTGCCACTCTCGGCAATACATGTAGTTTGAGATTTTTTAGCTGTCTTACTATAAGCTATATCGATATGGGGCGTGACAAATATCGGCTGTGGTGATCCCATTCAAACAAAGATATCACCATTAGATTCACCTCAATTATGCAAATCTATTGGTGATATCTTTGTTCGAATGGGATCACTGAATGTTGAGATATCGGGTTCCAAAGTGACAAATTGATTTTTGAAGTTTCTGGTAATATATTGTAGGGGTGTGTACATCGGTCCCATGATTTGCAATGTAATATAAAAAATTTCTTAGTACATATTTAATAAATGATCATTCCAATAATCATTTCAAAGAGATCATCCATTTTATAAATTATCTACAAATACAGTATGTAAATATTGAAAAGTTAAAATATAAAAAATTTATTGTTTGTTTTATTTCTCTTTTAAATTAATTTATGACTAGAATAGTTAGCACTTTTATATAATCTCTTGTTTTAATTGTAAAGTTATTATAATTTTGTTTTATAATTTTTTATCTTAGTTATAAAATTATATTTCTTGCATATAATCTATTGTCTTAACTGCAAAGTTATTGTTACAAATTTGTTCATTGATTAGTAAATTAGCTTATAAGCTTAAAGAAGAAAAAATTAAACAAAAAGCCAAAAATAATAATAAAAAGAAAAAATATCTAAATTTTATATTAATTTCTACTAAAATTATAATAATTTGAAGAAAAAATAAAAGTATGAGAGAGTTATAGGAAAGTAAAAATTAAAAGAAAAAAGAAAAGTTATAAAATAAAAGAAGAATATATAACAAAGAGAATTTTATTGTGCTAATTTTTTGTATTAATATTAAATAATTTAAGAAAATATAATTAGTAATAATAAAAATAACAAGAACTCTTTTATTTTATTTTTTTCATAAATGAAAAATATCACAATAACAAATAATAAAAATATCAAAATATCGAAATTTAATTTAAAATTCTAATAATAATATTTTGATAAGCTCAATATAATTCAAAATTACTTGGAAATAAACTTTAAAATATAATTATAAACTATAAATTTTAATTTTAATTCTAATAAAAATAATATTTATAAAACATATAAAAAAAGTTTGGAAAAATATTAGTTTGATAAGATAAAAATATAAGAATCTATTAAGAAAATAAAAACAATAAATTATATAATTAAAATCTATAATATAAAAAAAGAAAAATTATCTTTAAGAATTAATCAAATTACTATAATTATATCTTTTTATAATTATATTATTTTGTTTTTTTATTTATATATAAAAAATTTCTCTTTATAATCATATAACTTTTATAGTTATTAAATTTTACTTTTCTGAAAGTAATAAATAGAGAGATTTATTAATTTTTATATTATTTCAAAATATTAAAAAAAATAATATATTAATTAATATTTTAATTTTCTTTAATAATAAAGAAAATCAAAATTAAAGATAAAATTATTAATATTAAATATACTAAAATATTGAAAGAATCTTAATCAATACTTTAAAATAATCTAATATTATTAAATTTAATAATTAAATTATACAAATAATATTTTCTAGTTAGTACTATTTGAAAATTTTTAATCAATAACTACTAGAACTGAGCCAAATAAAATAAATAAATTTGAATTAAATAATTAACAAGTTTTAAAAGTATTATTACAAGTTTGTTTACTAATTATTAAATTAACTTGCAAATTTAAATAAAAATTAAATGAAAATTAAATGAATAAACAAAATATTAATAGAAAAAAAATATTTAAATTCTATATTAATTTTTATTAAAATTATAATAATTCAAAAAAAAAGTAAGATTTTATTTTTTATATTTAAAAAATATAATTATAAGTAAATTTAATATAAAAACTTTTAATATAATGTTCATCAAAAGTAATATATCACTCTTGACTTTCTATTGATCATGTATAATATACCAAAATTTTTTAAGCACAAAAAATATTATAAATACTGATTATTAATATCTTTTATAAATTGATAAAGCTTTTATATTGAATATTATATATTTATATTTTAAATATATATATATATAATTAGTTATTTATTTCAATATTCAATAATTTAATTCTTAATATTTAATAATTCAATTTGAACAAAAATATTATTATTTGATTTATTTAGTTAAAGTAAATTGAATAGTATTATTTTTATTCAAATCAGATTACTAAATATTAAAATATTATGTCTTAAAGTAACAAATTTATTTTTTTGATATTAACAAAAATTAATTAATTAATTTAGAATATAATATCTTCATATTTAGTAATCTAATTTAAATAAATTAATACTATTTGATTCATCTTGACTAAACAAATCAAATAATATTATTTTTGTTCAAATCAGATTATATAATATTTTGATATTTATTAATTTAATTTAAATAAAAATATTATAATTTAATTTGTCTAGATTAGACAAAATATTTTTTTTCAAATTAAATTATTAAATATTATTATAATTAGAATATTTTAAATATAATTATTTTATTAATAATTAATTATTTTTATTATTTCTAATAATTTAATTTAATTATTTAATTATTTATAATTCTATTAGATAAATTTGAAATTATATAACTTTTATATATGATAGATAATTTGAATATGTAATTTCTATATGTAATTTGTACATATAATTTTATATATAATTTATTAATTATATAAATATTTATTAGTTAAATTAATATATATAAATATATATAATTTATAATTTATATATTATTAATAATTATACTATATTATAATGAATAGGATGATCTTTAAATTCTATTTTATAACAACTCTACAATACTATCATCAAGATTCACTCTGATCTCAACCTATTTTCTTGTGACTTCCTAATCTCAGCACATAATAATGATATCTGCCTCAAAAAGAGTCTCATCAAATTACATAACATCTTAGCTTTATTGAATTATATGCAATTAAAAAATAATTTAGACATCCTCATTATAAAGTCAACTGTAATCTAGTTCTGGACCAGTCACAGTGACTAGTCACTTTGTAGCTTCTCATTTTTCATTTTTTTTAAAGGTTTAATTGTATCATAACTAGTTATTAATTTACCTTGTATCTTAGATTAGTTAACAATTTAAACAGGACTACACTACAACATTTCAAATAATTATACTATATTATTAATAATTATTAATAATTTTAAAAGTATTAAAAAGTATCTTATAATAAATAAATTAAAAATGTTATATAAAACTTTTATATAAAAGAAACTCTTATTTTTAATAATAAAAAGCATTAATTAAATAATTAATTAAACAATTAAATATTTGTTAATACAAATATAAAAACAATAACTTAAATAAAATATCTTTAATTAAATATCTATTACTTGATTATTTTTATTAAAAATATATAAAATTTAACTAAATAATAATATTATTATTATAATTGTATTTATTATATACTATTGAATTATAGTTAAATCTTTTTATAATTATTATTATTGAAAAAGCCAAATTAAATAACTATAAAAAGTTATAATTATAAAAAAATTTTATGCTAATTAATAATTCTGATCAAAATTATAATAATTTTAATTAAAATTATTATAATTTAATTATAACAAAATTTTATAAATAAATAATAATTTTAT